CCACAGCACCTGGCTATTTTTTGGTTGCAGCCATCATTATTGTTTGGCGAGCCTGGGCTGGATTTGAACCCGCCACCTTAGGTGTATGTGACTGGTGCCTTAGCCGCTTGAGCCACAGGTGCCGAGCCACATTCTACATTCTTGACAAGAAACATTAAAAACTGAGACTTAAAAGAAATGGTATTTTCTATGTAAAAATCATATAATTATACCAAATTAGTTAAAAATACATCATATAATTAGATAACCCACAGATCCAAAAGACAAACAGCAGTAAATGGATTAGTAGACGAACAACTGGCATGAATTCCTAAAATCAGATGGCCACTGTTTCTGATTCCATGATTTCAGTATCTACACACTTAGAATATTCTGAGATGGAATCTACCTACTTATTCTAATGACATTAATTTAACATAAAAAAGCTTTAAAAGTGTTATGTGTATAAATAAGCTTTCTTCATAAAACAAAATTTATTCTCTAAGTAAGACCACCCACAACACAAATGCCAACCAACAAGTATCAGTTCAAGTTTTGGTATGTGTGGTTTTAGTCAAGTGGACCCTACCAACTAACCTCCAAAATATACATATCAGAACTGTATATTCTATGTTCACTTACCGTCCAAGAAAGCACTGCCAAAGAGGACGATTCTGTGTTGCCAAATCAGAATCTTTAGAGCCAAACAATTTAGCTAGAAGTCGAACAACAGCTAATCGCTCTTCTCCATCATTGCTCTAAGGTAAAAGAGAAAAATCAATGAAGCTTGAGCTTTATTCATCAGACTACAGAAAATGAAAATATGAAACATTCCTAAGAAGATACAGTTTCCTATTTCGGCTTATAATGGTGAGAACTTTAAAATATCACATGTTGGCTCGACACCTGTAGCTTAGAGGTTAGGGTGCCAGACACATACACCGGAGCTGGAGGGTTCGAACCCAGCCCAGGCCTGCTAAATAATAATGACAACTGTAACAACGACAAAAATAGCCGGGCATTGTGGCAGGCGCCTGTAATCCCAGCTGCTCGGGAGGCTGAGGCAAGATAATAATCACTTTAAGCCCACGAGTTTGAGGTTGCTGTGAGCTGTAACGCCACAGCACTCTACCAAGGGCGACATAGTGAGACTCT